GGCGAGGTATCGCTCAGGTCCGCGCGGTGCGTCACCCCGCTGGACCCACCAGCAGCCCTCGAAAGTGGCGACAGTTCCGCAGATCGCAGCCCCCCAGGCACGGCGAGGGCTCGCTCTGGTCCGCGCGGTGCCTCACTCCGCTGGACCCACCAGCAGCCCGCGAAAGTGGCGACAGTTCCGCAGATCGCAGCCCCCCAGGGACGGCGAGGTCTTGCTTAGGTCCGCGCGGTGCCTCACTCCGCTGGACCCACCAGCAGCCCTCGAAAGTGGCGACAGTTTCGCAGATCGCAGCCCCCCAGGGAGGGCGAGGTATCGCTCAGGTCCGCGCGGTGCCTCACTCCGCTGGACCCCCCAGCAGCCCTCGAAAGTGGCGACAGTTTCGCAGATCGCAGCCCCCCAGGGAGGGCGAAGTCTCGCTCAGGTTCGCGCGGTGCCTCACTCCGCTGGACCTTCCAGCGGCCCTCGAAAGTGGCGACCGTTCCGCAGATCGCAGCCCCCCAGGGACGGCGAGGTCTCGCTCAGGTCCGCGCGGTGCCTCACTCCGCAGGACCCACCAGCAGCCCTCGAAAGTAGCGACAATTCCGCAGATCGCAGCCCCCATCGTCGGCGAAGAGAGGGCAGGAGGAGGCGGGAGGCGGTAAGAGGACGCGACCACACCCCTCTAGTCAAAATGAATACCCAGCCAAGGAGGGTTGGGAACTAAGTGTCAACGAAGCTCCACAATTAGATTTATGAGTGACCTTTCGCTGCGCAGCGTTGCTCACAAAACTAGTTGTGGAGCCTCATTGACACTGAGTTCCTCCTCACCTTCATCATGCTCCTCGCCCTTCTGCCCCTCTTTATCATCCGCCTCCTCGCTCCCTCCTCCCTTGGGGAGAGGTCCCGACAAGAAAAAAGTTGGACCCCTAAATCCGCCCGCCCAAATTTGGTTTTCCAGGCGGGCCTGGAACAAAAAAACGGACGGCCAGATTCCAGATCGCAGCCCCCCAGGGGCGGCGATGAGAGGGCAGGAGGAGGCGGGAGGCAGAAGAAGGGACGCGACCACACCCCTCTATTCAAAACGAATACCCAACCAAAGAGGGTTGGGAAAAAACGGACGGTCGGATTCCGGGGTCCGATATTTTTTGGCCGGGACCTCTCCCCCAGGGCCCGGCAGCACCAGGGGCCCTCGGCGGCCAAGAGACGTCGAGAGCACCTTCACCTCCACCCCCTCCTCGTCCTCCCCCTCGCCCTCCTCCTCCTCCTCCCCCCGACGAGGAATTGAGGAGGAGGAGGAGAATGGGGAAGGCTCCTCGTTCAGAGGTCGCGGTCGTTTTGAGGCTCTGATGGGCCGGCATAGGATTGGAGGCCTTCTGGCCATTTGTGAGTATCCTGAAGCTGCATTGGGAGCCTCGTGGGGCCCTCTTGGATCACCGGCGTCATCGATAGCACCCTCAGACTGATTAATGTCCTCAGCATCGTCATCGACAGCATCCTGACTACCGTACTCGTCATCACCATCGTCATCGGCGCTGTCTTGAAACACATTCTCGTCACCACCACTCTCATCGACAGCATATTGAAAGTAGTACTCGTCATCGCCATCGTCATCGATAGTATCTCCAGGCTGATGCGTGCCATCAGCATCGTCATCGACAGCGCCCCGACTACCCCGACTACCAGAATCGTCATCACCATCGACATCGACACTGTCTTGAAACACAGTCTCGCCACCGCCATCGTCATCGACAGCATGTTGAGAATAGTACTCGTCATCGCCAGCGTCATCGATATCATTTTCAGGTTGACGCATGTCATCAGCACCGCCATCGACGGCATCCTGACTACCGTGCTCGTCATCACCTCGTTCTCTCCCTGCTCCTCCTCATCCTCCATCCCTTCATTGTCCCCCTTCCCTTCCCCTTCCTTTCGCTCGCAAGGAGGAGGTGGAGGTGCCGTGCGTTCTCTTTCCCTTCAGGAAGGTGGACGAGGCGGTTCCGCCCCTTCTCATGCCCCCAGGAAGGAGGAGGAGGAGGAGGAGGAGGAGGAGGAGGAGGAGGAGGAGGAGGAGGAGGGGGAGGAGGTTTCTTCCCTTCCCTTTTTCCTCAGGCGGGAGGGGGCTCAGGAGGAGGGGATGGGATGTCCGTTAGTTTCCTTCCCCGCGGGAAGGCGGAGGCGGTTCCTTCCCTTCAGTCTTCCTCAGAATGGAAAGGGGGAGGAAGAACAGGTCTCTTTTCTCTCCTTTTCCCGCGGGAGGGACGACGTGGATAATCCTTCCCTCCCTTGTGCCCCCCAGGAAGGATGGGGAGTGGTTCCGCGCCTTGTCGCACTCTCAGGAAGGAAGGGGGGGCTCCATCCATCCCCTCTCCTGCAGGCAGGAGGAGGCTGAGGAGGAGGAGGAGGAGGAGGAGGAGGAGGAGGAGGAGGAGGAGGAGGAGAAGGGGTGTCTGTTATGTCCCTTCCCCGCAGAAAGGAAGAGGCGGCGCCTTCCCTTCAGTCTTCCTCAAAAAGGAGGGGGGGGGGAAGAACAGGTTTCTTGCCTCTCCTTTCTTGCAGAGGGGGACGATGTGGAGGGCCCTTCCCTCCCTTGTCCCCCCAGGCAGGATGAGGGGGAGGAGATCGCCCCGCGCCTTGTCGCACTCTCTGGATGGAAGGGGGACGGGGTCCATCCATTCCTTCAGGCAGGACCGAGGGAAGGAGAATAACGGGTCTCCCCCTTCTCTTCCTGAGCCTCCTCCTGCCTGAGGAGATGGGAGGGGAAGGAACCTCCTCCTCCTTCCTGGAGACACGAGAAGGGGCGGAACCACCTCTTCCACCTTCCTGAAGAAAAAGAGAATGCACGGCACCTCCACCTCCTCCTTGTGAGCAAAAAGAAAAATAAGAACCTCCTCATCCTCATCTCTTTCCGGGGGGAATAGGAAAGGGATAACCTCGACCTTCTGCGCGATGGAAAAATGAAACTGATGAACCTCTGTCATCTCTATGAACCTTTGTCTCCGCCTTATGAGCAACCTCGAAAACGCAGGCCCCCGTTAGGACTCCGAAGCCGGACGCGCGAGCAGTGCTCTGTTCAAAACGAATACCCAACCAGGAAAGGTTGGGACAAATCCTTGGAACGTCTCGCGGAGAAGTATTCGCAAGTGCGCCCAATGACCGTGTGACGCCCTAGCCCTGGAATGGTATCATTGGGACCTCAGACCACCGACGATGACCTCCAGGAGACCCTGAAATGACCCTAAGATGACCCCGCATCGTCAAAAGGTGGCTTCAAGACTGCCCCAACGCAGCAAAGCATCCTTGAACTTCCGGACCCCACCGTGCGCCGAGCCGATCCCAGCATGGCGGGATCCGTGAACGACCTGGGATTGTGGTTCCCATTTTCTCAGATGGGTGGGATTTTAACCGGGCTGAACTAAACCTGCATCATTAAAGGGGACTAGGGTAGGCGGGATCCCGCCCAGCCCATGGCAGAAAATTGCATCGTTCGGCTTCTACGGGGTTAAGGGGGTTCGGGAAGGACATATACTTCAACTGAGCTCTGCAAGCCTTCCGCCGTCTTCCGCCTGCTTTTACTTCCGTCGGCTTCCGCGGGCGTGAACTACTTCCGCTGTATTCTGCATGCCTTCCGCCGTCTTCCGCTTCTTTCTGCTTCCGTCGACTTCCGCTGGTGATCGTCGTGGCAGAAGTCATGGAACTTTCATTGGGCCGATCTATCGATCTCACTATCGCCAGCATACCATAGCATAGCATATAGCGTAACACGAGACACCCCCGCGCCACGGGACACCACGGGACACCACGGGACACCATCGGGACATCATCGGGACACCATCGGGACACCATCGGGACACCATCGAGGCACCACAAGGCAACTGCTGGTCAACCCGAGGGACAGCAACGTTTGGTTCGGCTTCGCTCTGGCAACGGCGGGTTTATTCCTCTCGCCCGCCCAAGCAGCTTCGCCTCGCCCGCACGCGCGACACGAACGGGAATCCGAAACCAAAATCAAGGTGGGAGGGTCTCCGTTTCACTGCGATCTCATCCCCCAACCTCCGATATATAGACAGAGAGAGGAAGAGAGAAAGAGATAGCGAGATAAAGAGAGAGAGAGAGAGATCAGCAACTATGATAAAGAAATAATGAGGGAGGCGGAGTAGAGAGAGAGAGGGATTAACATACATAGACATTGCGAGCATGCTTGTATGTATATATACACGTGTTTTGTGATACATGCAGACGCACGGGAAGGTAGGTATAGGGAGCGCTACATAGAGAAATGAGAGAGAGAGAGGGACAGCGAGAAAAAGACAGCAAGAGAGAGAGAGAGATAACACAAAAACAATATATATATATACATATACATATACATATACATATACACGTGTTTTGTGTGATACATGCAGACGCACGGGAAGGTAGGTATAGGGAGCGCTACATAGAGAAAGGGAGATAGAGAGAGAGGGACAGCGAGAAAAAGACAGCAAGAGAGAGAGAGAGAGATAACACAAAAACAATATATAT